ACATCGAAATACAATTCATAATGAACGAAAAAATTACGCTTGTGACAAATGTGAGAAGAAATTCAAGTTCCGAAGTCATTTGAGTAGACACCAAGTATCAATACATAAAAGCCGTAAAGATATTTCATGCGACAAGTGCGACATGAAATTTGTTAAAAAATCAAGTATGTTCATGCATCAAAAATTAGTACCCAAAGATCGCGACGATTTCTCATGCAACAAGTGCGAGAGGAAATTTGAAAATAATTCAACTTTACTCAAGCACAAAAAAATATTCCATGAAGTTTTCAAAGACTACTTATGTGAAAAGTGCGCCAAAAGGTTCGCAAGTAAGCAAAGTTTAATCGCACACGTAAAAGGAGTTCACGAGGGTCACAAAGATTTCGCATGCGACAAGTGTGAGGAGAAGTTTATAAAAAAAATGCATTTGCTCGTCCACCTAAAGACAGTACATGAAGGTCGAAAAGACTACGCATGTGAAAATTGCGGCAATAAATTTGGACGTAAGTCAGATTTGTCGAAACACCAAAGGATAGTCCACGAAGGTCGGAAAGATTACTCATGCGACCGATGCGAGAAGTCATTTGGGGAACGAGGCACTTTAATCAAACATCAAAAAACATTTCATGAAGGTCGCAGAGATTTTGCATGTGACAAGTGCGAAAAGAAATTTGGATGTAAATCAGATTTGATGAGGCACCAAAGGACTGTACACGAAGGTCACAAAGATTTTGCATGCGACAAGTGCGGACAAAAGTTTGTACAGAAATGGATGATGATTCGTCACAAGGCAGTTCATGAAGCTCGTAAAGATTACACATGTGACAAGTGCGAACAGAAATTTATAAAAAAACGGAGTTTGTTCTTACATCAAAAGTTAATCCATAAGGGTTGCAAAGATTACGCATGTAATCATTGCGAGAAGAAATTTGGGGATCAAGGCAATTTGAAAAAACATCAAAAGGCCGTTCACGAAGGTCGCAAAGATTATGCATGCGATAAGTGCGAGAAGAAATTTGCACGAAAATACCGATTGCTCGTCCATCAAAAAACAATCCATGAAGGTCGCTATGATATCCCATGCGAGAAATGCGAGAAACGATTCGGGGAACAGGGCAATTTAAGAAAACACCAAAAATCAGTTCACGAAGGTCGTAAAGATTACGCATGCGGCACGTGCGAGTGGAAATTTGGACGAAAATCAACATTGATTAGGCACCAAAAAACAGTCCATGAAGGTTGCAAAGATTTCACGTGTAATCATTGCCAGAAGAAATTTCGGGGTCAAGGCAATTTGAGAAAACATCAAAAGACCATTCACGAAGGTCGGAGAGATTTCACATGCGATAAGTGAGAAAAAAAATTCGGAAAAAAACCATTTGCTCAGACACCAAAGGATAATACACGGAGTTAGCAAAGATTAAGTACGCCTTCGTCGCGAGAAAAAATACTGATTGACAATTGAAAATATATTTAGATACTTATAAATATGTTTTTCTAAAATTTCAATAAAAATTTTGACTACGTGATCGTGTCTTATACCTGAATCTAGGTGTTGTTCAATTATAATTATACGTTGTCACCTTTTGTCGGGCACTTAGAGACTGGACCCAAAGTTGAAACTTTTGCAAAATATTTTTGAGATGTTAAAGAACATTTTAATCCAAAAAAATTAATTCGATTTCCAACATATTTTAGGGTTGTTTACCACCTTAAAACGAGTTAAAATAGTTATACCCTGAAATTTGAAGAACAAAATTCGACCCATTTTCATTTTCAATTCTCAAATAAGCTGATTTGTGAAGATTAAACTAAAGTGCTCCAATAGGAGAATTTTACTAGGGTTGTGGAAAAGAGATAATCTTATTCGAACATCATGAAATCCTTGAATTTGTAATTACGTTCATGTTCGTCATTGTAGGATCACTAAGTATATGAATAAAATCTTTGAAAAAACATTTTTAAATATATAAGTCCAGTTCACTGAACAGTTAAAATTGCGTGTCTTTGAACATGGATATCTCGAAATTACGTATTTTAAATCGGCGAGAAACACAACTCAAAGAATGTAGCATGGATCTTTTTAAAAGTTTGCACACTTCATTATCAATCTTTTGAGAAAAAAATGTTGATATTTTCTATTCAGACTTAATTAGCTTAATTAAACGCTTATATAGTAATCCGAGCTTAATTTTACCACTTGGAGGTACGAAATACGCCATCTAGGCGAAGGATCGGAACTTACTTTTCTCGATTATTACCTTTTTTTATTGAATCGAATAAATAATCATAATTACTTTTACGTGTTTAATAATTTTTATTACACGAAAATAAATATTTCATTGTACCAAAAGATTAATAGTTCATATACCCATAAACAAATATTTTTCTAAACAAACTTAATAATCGATTGATTCAACTAAATTTTTTCTCCATAAACTACGATTAATCGACACAAGTAACTTCTTTTGTTGCAGTACTCGATAAGTATTAAGGTAAAACGAGAACAAGCTGCCGCTGGACTCGTGGCGAAGAACCCGGGTCAACGAAAAATTTTAAATGCAACCTCAGATTCTCTTTGTGTACAATTAATAAATCCGAATAATTGGAGTATAAGGAGTCATTGACGTTTGAGTTTGAAAAATCTGTAAAGTTCATAACTGAATGCAAATTGTTGTAATTAATATATTAATCAATAATATATTAATCAATAATATAATACAACTGGAGAAAAAAAATCTCGTTACTTTATATCATAATATATTTTTAGAATCGTTAAATGATATTACGAGTATATGAATAGAAATAATTTCAGGATTCAACGCATAATAATAATAATAATAATAATAATAATAATAATAATAATAATAATAATAATTCATATACTATGTTTGCGTCCTGCGAGCTTTGGGTTCATATATATTTGCTCAGGCGCTCGGCCGTCCTAATTAATAATAATAGTCTTCGGACTCTCTCTCGGTATGTTTTTCAACGCGTTCTAATTTCCCTCGCGCGAGTGTATAAATTCACATGTGTACATGAGTGTGTGTACGTACGAACCTATATACGCAGGTAAGCTGTGTGGGGGGGAGGTGAGCAGAGCTCATCTCATATTCGATTAAACGAGCTTTCGCGACGAGAGGCTGCTGCTGCAGGGGCTCGACAGGAGCATATATATGTAAGGGAGGCGCATACTACTACGTGTAGCCTCCAGTCTTCATGGGTAACGGAATGTCATATAATCCACACACACCGGAAAATGAGAGAAATACCTACTCGCGATGTCGTATATAATATGTAATTAATTTAGTGCGTTTATTATGCAGTAAACATCTGTCGAGAATTACATATTCCCTATATGTATATAAGTACAAGGGGGCGCAGCACACAGTTTACGCATACTTTACCGATCGACGTATATATTTATATAATGAAGATTGCCATGTATTATGCGCGGCGATTAACCAACTATGCGAAACACTCTGGCTGGGTATATACATGCATGCGTGTATGTGTATGTATGTACACGAGACGGCGGTATCGAATCGATTTTCGGCGAATTTCTCCTCCGGAATTGCCGGAGCTTACGTGCGCGGCTACACACACACTGCAAAACGGAGAGCCTAAAAGCGCAACACAATAGAGAGGAGCGCAACGACATAAAGCCCACATGAGTTATATACGCGAAATAATACACGGACAGCAAGAGGAGGAGGGCGAGAGAGAGAGAGAGACGTTAAAAGAGGGCTACTAATTGCGCGAAATTGGCTAGATACAGATACAGCGAAACGATACCGAAACGGTTCTTGAATGAGTATACTATACCCACCCACCCGGCCCTTGGAGAGACGTGTAAAAGCTTCGAGATATAAATTATAATGCCCTTGTAATGATGATCACGATCTTCGAACGTGGACGCGTATTATACTTCGAGCTCGCTCGAAGTGCAATATAGATCGGTATCCGATTTTTTTTTCGAGAAAAAAAAATGAATATCGGGTGCGCGAGCTTGCGAGTACAAAAAATATTCATCAGAGCTTTTTGACTCGATTTTAATATATCGCAAACAAAAAATAAATTGTTTCGACCAATTAAATTTTGATTCAATTTCGGCCTTTTATTATTCCCGGCCAAAGTTCGCGAACATTTTGTTGTTCAACTTCCTCTTTCGTATATTGTACAAACTCGATTTCGTCGAGTCAATTTAGTCCGAGCGACGTCATATATACACAGATGCATTACGATGGGATTTTAGTACCGAACAAAATCGTATCTCTGTATCCGTGTCTCGCTCTCTCGCACTGCGGAAAACGACTTCCAAATGCATAATTTAGCCATCGGGCAATTGCGTCGCGAGGTACTACAAACTCGCACACATCTGTATATTTATGGTCCGTGGAGCGACGCTGGATGCTCACCTTTAATACATCCCACGTAGGACGTCATTCGCTTTTCACGATACAAAGTTGCAGCTATTCGCTTTGCGACGTATAATAAATACGTATATAGGGCCACTTTGATGGCGACGACACACGTACACGCACACAGACAAGGGCCAAAAATACCACTGACGGTGCGACGGTTTACATTACGAATTAACTGCTGCGGGGAATTCAGTCGCTTGATTAAAGTCATTTTTTTCTCTCTTTAATTCGTCGGATGTAATTGAGATGGATTGACCTGGCACGCGAGTATATGACGAACGTTTTTGCCAATTAGGAAAGATGAATATAAACCTTTTTTTTTTTGAGAGTGGATAAGTTTAGAGCGATGCCCAGAGTTAATTGATCATTCCAACTTGCGTGGCTGAAAAAATTAGTCTTGTGGGACAAATTTCAGAATTTAATTATAATTAATTCAAATTATTCATTGTAGTGACGTGAGCAAGGAGCTCAAAATCATCTTTTACTTGGAACATAATAGTTAAAAATAGTTACCTTTGTATTAATGTTTAAAGAAATAAATTTTGTGATTGTGACTCAGCAAATAACAATAACAGATTTCTTGTCATGTGATGAAGTTAATCTTAACATAAAAAACTTTTATTAACAAGGAACAACAAAATATCTACAAATATATTTATAGGACTTAAGAGATCTAATTATTTTCTGACTTGGTGCTATCTTTCTCTTTGCTTTGCTCTTGTGTTAAAAGCGCACTCTCGATACCAACTTTTTTCAGCTCTTCGATGAGCTCACCGTTTTGATGCATTTGCAGAAGAATGTCGCACCCTCCGACAAAGTCCCCATTGATAAACACTTGTGGGATGGTAGGCCAGTTTGAAAACTCCTTAATGCCTATAATTGATGTGTCAGTTAGTTATTGGATTTGATTTGTTATCAGATGAGTGTAATTCATGAAATTTATACGTAATTGAAGCATGGAATTTAACTACATTTGATTACACACCTTGTCTGAGGGTTTCGTCTTTAAGAACATCATGTGCATCGTACTGTACTCCATGCATTCTCATGATTTGTACAACGGCATTGCTGAAACCGCATCTTGGCTCTTCAGGAACGCCCTTCATGAATACCACTACCTTGTTGTTCTGTAATGAAAAAACATACCCAAAATGTAATATTTTTTGAAAAATTCTGTCATGATAAATATTTCTCCAGTTTGTACTGGTTTTAATTACTTTAATCATGCCGGCAATGTCCTCGGATTTTGTGGCAAACTGCCGGATAAATTTTGAAGCTGTTACAAATCTGGACGCGAACATTTTTAATACACTTCGAAGCTTTTATAAACAAATATCTCAAATATTTCAATTACTGTGCAACAGTGAGGGCAGATATCACGCTTATATCAGCTGATAGTTGAAGGTTATGTTCTCTCAGATGTTGACTTTTTTCGCTAGCGCAGCGCGAAATTTAAAACTGGTGGAAGGTATTATTAACATTGAAAAACTTATGATTACAAAAATGAAAAAATTTATTTCATTAAAATTTAATATATTTACATTGTACGTAAATTTACGTACATTCACATTTAAAAACAATTGTAATTACAAAATTTTATAAACATTTATACAATATCACCACTTTTTCATTGTTCGATTTTTGTAAAACGTTGATTCACTGTCGTGATATCCGTAATCAAAGTCGTGTGGTTGCGAATTAATTATATTAAAATGTACAGCTTCGACCATGCATACTTCTTCATACAAATCTTCGCTCGACATTTCCAATAACTCGGCGCATTCATTCAACAACCACGAAAAATTTCTTGGCAATTCTTTCTCGAATAATTCAAAGTCCTTGCCTGAAACTCGACTAAAAATACAATGATACATCCAATAGTCATTGAATGGCCTAAAGAGAATTTCATGATCTTGCATTGAGTCTGTCGATAAGTTTTTTTGACTTTTGTCAAAACTCTCCATATCTTCTAAAATAGAAATATCAGACAAATCAAGGCAATCTACTTCTTCATTAGCAGCATTTTTATCAATATTTTCTTTTTCACGGTTTTTTTTCGCTATTTTTTTTGTTTTGGATTGCTTAGAATCCTCTTCATCATCGCTTGAAATTTCTGTACAGTTTTGAATCCTTTTATACTTTTTTTTCAAGACTACACTTTCATTGTTTTCCCTCGCCTCATTATTATCAGAAACCGAATTTTCATTACATGAATTTTTCAAAGATTTGATTTCATGATTGTATAGTGACAAGTTATACTTTTTTTGAAACTTATTATCCAATAGAATGCTTGTATCAACTGGTCCACAGTCTTCATTTGAAGTCAAATCGATACAAATTTCATCATCTGAATCACAATCTTCACCAATATCAAGTCGTCCATCGGATGTTATTTTATCAAAACCACTACCTTCATCAAGATCTAATGTCTCTTCCAAATTTAGATCTTTATTACGTATCGTAGTATAGTATTTAAATATTTTAGGATGTACTTTCAATTTGCAACTGCGATCTCGGTGTACAAAATCTAAAACATTCTCTGTAATTTCATCATCTGCAGGTTCTTCGATATCCACAAGTTCACTCATTTCTTTCAATATAAGCGCTGGCGGTGAGGCAAATGCTGGTACAATCTTTTCGAAATACTGCAAACTATGATTGACAACTTCCAATTTGATGCCACAATAAGATGCTAGTTCAATTAGCCTTAAAAAAAAAAAAAGTGTTAAAATTAATTTATAATTTTTTATCATAAAAAAATTATACTCACTTATCGGGTTTTGTTAAATATCCAACTTTAGTTTCCCAAAACCTTGTATTTAATAGATAAGGTAATTCATAGCTAGGATTTTCTAACAACTCTGAAATGTATGTCTTGAAAGGAGTGAAAGTGGGAGGAAATTGCTCACTATGTCTTAACGGTATACCTTGATCATCCAAACTTTGAATACATTTACGCATAGAAGACAAAATTTCTGTGGGAATACCTCTTTTTGATTTACTTGTTTCTTCCATGTCTATAATTCTCTTTGATGCCACCATTTGCATGTATCGTATAAACAAGTGTGCTGCATCAATATTATCTGGATTGTACTTAATTTTTGAAGGATAGTGAACATTGGTAAGAACACTTTTGCAGCATTCTATAAATCTTTGCCACTCCCCAAAACTAAATAATTTTGCTGCAGATGGATCATTTTCCAATGACAATTTGTTTATTTTTTCCACCAATCTACTTGTTTCTTTTTCTGTAATATCATCTATACTAAATAACATTTTTAAAATTACAATTATAAATGCCATAGCTCTGCCTTCATAATTTGGAATATGAGACATTTGAAAATTAAATTCCATTACTGGAGGTGACATTGCATAAAGTCTTTCTGCATACAGAAAAATACCCCCTAAAAATATTTTTAGTTTTATTACATGATAAAAGGATCTAATTGAAATTTTTATGTTACAAATTCCATTAATACTTACGCGGTAAATGGAGATCTTCACAATATCTTTGTATTAAATCTATAATACTTGGTTTTTCTATTTCTTTCATTTCAATAAATTTTGCCATATGAGCAACAGTCATTCGTATACCTTTATGGGTAATATCTTTCACATTGGTCAACATAATTTCATCTTTTCTATCTATTACTACTTCTGATGGGAGTAAACTTGTCATATTATAGAATGATAAATGGCCTTCTCTTGCATACCTGTTTTTTATTCATGTGAATATTATTATTTATTTGATTTTGAAATGAAAGTTTTATAGAATCAACGTTAAAATTTAAAATAATTACCTTAGTAAATCAGATATTTGAATACCATGATCATGATATCTAAGAGCTAGATATAAAATTGACAATAATTTTAAGGGTGAAATTACATCAGGGCCTCTTGCATACTGTGTTCTATTGAAATATTTATGGTGATTTATTTTTCTTTTTTTAGGAACCTTGTGTGACATCGTCTTGATTCTTTTTTTTTCAGATCTGGCTCTTTGATTAAAGTGTATACTACAGATAACATAAACAATTAATACAAAACTCACTACAAATAATTCATTATTTTCAAAAGTAAAAATTTACCTTTGTGAGCGTTCTGTCCTAGAACTGGCCCTAGATGAGAAACTACTTAAACTTTGATTCATGGAACTCATAGCATCAGTTTCAGATTCTCCTTGGCTTGATAAGTATCTTTCATATTCAGATTTAACTAGCAATCTCTGAAAACAATTAGTAAAATATTATATAACAGATAGTTCAAACCAACGCATCAATTTTCATTTTACTCACCTTGACTTGACTTCTTCTGGATCTGGAAGATACACCTGATTCACTTACATCTGTTGACACCATTGATGAGGCACTTGTGGCACTGCCTCTACTTTTCTTTCTTCGTTTCCTGCGAGTTTTTTTTCCATAGAAGATGTCTGCATCTCTAAAAATAAAACTATAACTTTGAGCAGGACTGCTGCTAATACTTTGAAATTTTTATAGAATAATAAACTTACTTTTTATGATAACGTCTAGCTATTTTGGGAACTTTTTTCTTACTTTTTGAAGTAAAAGCTACTTCAAGTTTGGTCAAGTACATGGTCCATAATTGTAATACAGTTAACTTTATGCTAGAATCGACTCCGGTTTCAATTAATTCATCCGTTAAACCTAATAGGACTAAATTATACAGCTCCCAACTTGTCCACCCCTCGACATCTACAATAAATTCATATGATATATTTATTTTAAAATATTGTAAAAATGATGTTAAAATGGTGTAATACTCAATGCAAACTAAGCTAACCTCTGTCAACGGTTTTGGCCTCTTTAATTTTAATTTTTCTGACTCGTATGTTCTTGTTAGCTTCTTCAAGTCCTTCAAACACTTCTTCTCTCACGTCCTGTAAATTTTAATTATGATGAGAACAAAATCTAAAGCGACCCTCGATACTTTTTTCACTGTTAATAACTCACATCATTTTGAGTTTGGCACTGGCTGCAGAAATAAAAACCATCCTCCTTGTAAAAGTTTGTACCGTTGCACAGTGCGCATTTCTGCGTCTGCGATTGTTCACCTTGGGAAAACATGGTAGTCTGGAGGTAATTCCACAGACTTTTAATGATTTTCTAGGGATGAAAACTCCGTTTTTGTTTCATAGTCTCGCACGAGCAGCGCACACACCGACTGTAAACAAAGCACCATAACCTTCGAGGCTGTGCGTGAGCCACGCGTGGACGTTAAAGTGACAGGCGACGCGCAGCATACTGCATAGTGCTGCTCCGGAGTCCGCAGCGCAGACGAAAATAGCTGATATTTTTTTCCATTGAAAACATTTATGTTTCACACATCAAGTTTCGATTCTTTATCTAGATGGCGTACTTGATAAGCGTAAGTGGTAAAACTCAGTTCAGATTACTACATAATGTAGTAGGATGATAAAAAAATTTTTCTTTATACGAATTAAATTTCCTCACGCACTGCATGTATTGAAATTGGTTTGCAATGACTCGAATACTTGTGCATTGTAAAACGTTTAGTACCAAAATGATACAAACCAAGTGACTCATCGATATTAACTGGAGCGCATAAAGAGAACCAAAGTATTTATCCGTGTTCACGTAAAAATCATAAAGAAAGGGCAAAGTTTTTTGAAATGTTTGATTTCCTGGTAGTATCCACGAGCCCCAAATTGGAACAAGTAATGGAGCAGTTCCAACGAATATAACCATTGGTATGAACAGAACTAAAGGAAAATATTTGGAGTTTATACTCGGTTTAAATATCACGGACAAACAGAACCATTAACTTGTTATTATTGAAATGTAGTCCATCGCTTTTTCCAACATATTTTCAACCGTTTTTTGACCCAATAAATCATCACTTCTACGCATTTTTGATATTATACTTAAACACACGAAAATCTAGAAAATATGCAGATATTAATTTTTACCTAATAGTATAAAGAAATAATGAATAATAAATATGTAATGTCATGTAAATATGTATAGTCATTAATAAATGAATAGTAAACCTTTTTGAAGTGTACAGAAAGGTTAGCATAAATATACAGTATCGTGCATCCGGTAACTATTTGATATAAACTTTCAGCAGAGCGACTGTCAAGTCCTTTTACCTTCGTATCTTCAATAAACTTTACAATCTGGAATAAAAAAGAATAAAAAATCAAAAATTCTAAAAATAATGCGAAGATTATTGATATATACTAAGCCAAAAACTTGTGCCACTAAACATAACAACGTGAATGATCTGCCGATCAAACCCACATTTTTATCTTGAAAAATGTACATGAAACTGATTTTAAATATTTTGATGTTTAATTGAAACGAAGCCTTGGACTTGAGAAATTCCTCGTACCATTTGAAATCTTATTCAAGTTCAACTTTAATAGCCATATTCGCATTACCCGATGAAGTTAAAGTATATTTCTGAGGCACTGAATTATTTTGCCGGTGTATCATGATTTTTTCACCATTGCATTATTTATTAGACAACATAAGTCTACGAGATATCTTAGAATATTTTTCATTCGTTTTTTTTTATAAAAGACAAGTTAAATTTATCGCTCACTTACTCTGCCCTTGGATTGCTGTTTTTCAAGAATTTTTAAATAGGCCAGAGGTTTAAAATTTTTTTCAACGCTTTTTTTCAATAATTATTACACATCACTTGTTCTAACTTACCCAGCTAAGATTTACGCATTTGAAATCTACTTATATACACAACTAAATTATGCAAGAATAAGTTTTATACGAGTGTAAATAGTTTTCATGTCTGTGAAAATTTATTATCGAGTGAAAATAATTTTTACACTTGGATAGGTGGTTTTTACACTTGTGACTAGGGCTGTGCGAGTACTCGAAAAAACTCGACTCGTCGAGTTCGAGTTTTTTCCTCGAGTTCGAGTCGAGTACTCGATTTTTCGAGTACTCGAGTTTTTTCGAATACTCGATTATTTGTCGAGTACTCGAGTTTTTTCGGTTACTCGAGTTTTTTCGAATACTCGCAATACATTTAAGTTTTAAGTAAATAAATGGTGAATCAACAGTCTCTAGACCCCTCTCTTTGTGTGTATATGCTTATTAGTGTGATATTCGCAGCAGTGTTCGAAAAAACTCGAATGCCCGAAAAAACTCGAGTACTCGAATTTTCCCGACTCGACTCGAACTCGACTCGAACTCGGCGATTCGAGTTCGAGTGGAGTGAAACTCGAAAAATCGGATACTCGCACAGCCCTAACCCAGAGACCCGAATTTTGACTTATATTTCCACGCTTTATTTTTGTATGAAACCATTGTGATGTTACATCCCGTGGTCGGGATTTAACAATAAACTATTTATTTCTTAGACTTGTTGCCGAGTTGGAGTGATAATAAAGAGAGACTTAATTATTTTTGGTTGAAGTTAATATATTATTTTGATAGTGAGATGGTTTGCCATTATAATAATTATTGATATTTAACAAGCAGCATGGTTCGCTACAGATCACACAGGCATACTCATACTCATACTGTTTGCGTCCTAGCTACTTGGAGTCATTGGCTGCTTGCGATACTCCTTGTCTGATTGAAGTCTGGATGATGGCTGGATCGCGCAGATGCACTTGCCCCTGCGGTTACAATATTTTTATTCGCACGTCACTCCCGTTGAATACAACAATATTTTATATCTCATTGCTGACTATCTGCCTGAGCAGAAGTACAGCGTTGGATGGTACTTTTCGTTGAAAGACTATGAACGTTTAATCACATTTTCGAAAAATTCGAAATCTAAGAGTCTACAGCAACGAATGGCGACTGGCTGTACGCCGTATAAGAAATCGGAAATGACAGAGCTTGGGCATAATAGCTCGATGCGTGCCTCACAAAATTGGAGGAACCACGGAGCTCACGATACGCGGTGTGCGATTTCGTAGATATGAAGGAGGACTGATCTTCTTTTACTGTTGCTTATATACCCCTAAAGTTGCCCCCGCCCTAGTGGTGCAGCGTACGTAGTCGGCTCGATATGGGTCAATAATTGACACATATCTTGCACGCGCGTGTACATTAGCAGATCCGGGGCTGCGTTTTTCCCAAAATTCGTGAAGTCGCGGTCACCGCAGTTTTACAGCTTTTCTCAGATATTAATTCACACTCGCGGGCGCGCGTGTTCATTTCTTTGCCGTGCGAATTATATTTTCGCAAGAGTTTAATAGCAGCGGCCAAATAAATAGGTAATGGATTTTAGGCCGCTCAATTCGGCATTGTTTACGCTGGCTGCGCGTGTCCGAAATGATGTTACTTTCTGTCGTGTGTGTGTGTTAATGAAATTATGCATAGGAGATACGTGAGATACATTAAATTGTAATTCATGCGTAGCCGCTCGCTAGCTGCTTCTCGCAGTTTTAATAATTTCTTTTATAATTATTTTTTATTGTAAAAGGTTGCATCACAGGCTGTAACAGTGAAATTAATGTGAAAATACTATATCGTATGGTATTTTGATCGCTCTTTTCAAATCTGACGTCAGATTTACGAAATATGCAACCGTTTTAAAAATACATTTGTTAAAACAAAAAAAATGTGGTTTTTGAACATTTGTCTTCAAAATAATCGTATTCTTCACCACGATTGCGCATTCGGATGGGGATAAAACTCTGGATCTGGAGGCATTAAGGCCTATACTAAAAGTTAACAGCGTTGGTTCATCCAGATTCAAGATGGAAGCCACCAAAACAGCTGATTCAACGATTATCGGCTAAAAGACGATACGGTACATCTTATATAATGCTTTGAGATTATTTTACCTGCTAATAATGAACTCTACCAAAAAATGTTATAGAACAAAAAGTACTTGGCATTGATCAAAGAATATTTTATAAAAATTTCCAAAATCATCCAAAAAATTCTAAAAAAACTCACGCGTATTCTTTGATCAATTCAAAATACTTTTTGTTCCATAACAGTTTTTTGTAGAGTCAATTTTTACTGAGTAAAAAAATACCAAAGCACTATAATATGTACCGTATCGTCTTTTAGCCGATAATCGTTGAATCAGCTGTTTTGGTGGCTTCCATCTTGAATTTGGATGAACCAACGCTGCAAACTTTTAGTATAGGCCTGCATGCCACCAAATCCAAAGTTTTATACAAAATGCGATTATTTTGAAGACTAATGTTCAAATCCCACGTTTTTTTTGTTCTAACAAATGTATTTCTAAAACGATTGCGTGTATCGTAAATCTGACGCCAGATTTGAAAAGACCGATAAAAATCCTATAAGATATAGTATTTTAACATTAATTTGATTTGAATATAAGGAGGGAGCCTGGAGGAGAGGAAACCTCAAAATACCGTGAAAAATGACACAATTTTACGTTATTTTGAGAGGAGCCTGGAGGAGGGGATCTCAGAGGAGGGGATCTTTATCGATATATATAGTAAAATACTTGTAAATTGATTTAAATTTTAATAAAATTTTCTACTTACAAATGAAATAGTTGCTATTTTCCAGCACCTCTCTCTCCTTTAATATTTCCAACAATTTTTGGAAAGTCTTAGGTTCTACGAAGCAGCTGGTTTTATATTCATCGTAGATTTCATTGAAGTTCTCCACCATGACGTCATTTATCTCCTCCAACTTCTCCTCGAAGAAAAGAGACAACTCCGAGAATATCTTTCTTTTGATCATCGCCGCAGCTTGATCTCGCCATAACCTGCCGAGCAAAATTTAATTTTTTATTAATTTATAAAACCATAAAACAATTTTAGGTTAACTATAATACAATAAAAAATATGCAAAAACATTATTATTAAATAATTATTATTAACGACTTTTATTAAAAGATGGCATCAAAATATTTTTTCTAATTAATGAATTAATTACACTGCGAGTTTATAAAAAAAAAGATAGGACTCTTTACGCGATTTCTTTATAGTTACATTTGTATTTTAAAATTGATACTTACGTGCAAACTTTCATGCACTTCTTCAGCGTCGCCCTATCCATCCTGTCGAAGATCTCATCAAGCAAATCGACATTTAATTGCCACATTTATTTCGTGAAAATAGCGAAAGTTGAATGTTAAATTAAACTTAAATGTCGGACGTAGACTGGAGCTATGAAATTGTTTCGTGAGAACACTCCGAAATAAGCCGATCGCGTAAAACAATTGAAAATTGGTAACAATGTATAGTGTTGAATAGTTCACGTCGATGCTATTTCACAGGGGTTTTTTACTTAAACAGATATTGTGGTAAGTTTAATTTTATTTTCATAAA